CCAGCTCCAAGATACGTATTTTTATTTTATTGTTTTAAATATTTACTATTTTTGTGAGGTGAGGGGTAGAGCGAGAGGGTGAGAGCAAGAGAGAATCCCAAGCAGGCTCCATGATGGTAACAACAAACCCTCCGTGGGGCTCGGTCTCATGAACCCATGAGATCATGACCCGAGCCAAAATCAAGAGCCTGAGGCTTAGCTGACTGCACCACCTAGGCACCCCTCAGCTCCATGATACTATTATCCTGTGACAACCTGGAGAAGTAGACAGAATTTTGATACCCTCCATGAAAGTGGAGACCCTGTTGTTCAGAGAATTTAATGATTCTGACCCTCAAGTTACCCACATGGTAAGTGCGTATGTCTCTGAACACTTCATGTAGTGTTTTTTCCACTATATCACACAGACGTGTGTATGAGCACGCACACGGATTAACCGTGACCTGCTTCACTTTAGCTCAGATAACTAGACACAGATGAACAAATCCACGCTTTCAGTTAAATGACACTAATTACTTGGACAGTATGTGGCTAATTAGATTTCAGGAATTGACAGCTTGCAGACAGAATTTGTCCTAAAGCCCCATTTTATTTGGCTCCCAGAGTGTTTTCTATGTATTAAAAAAAATATGTTGCTCTCTCTTCAATTGGGCATATTTTACAAAAAAATCCACATTTTCAAATTCTCTTCAACAGATCTGGCAACATGACAGTAATTGGCTGAAATGGGTTTGTCATATCGTCCTTTCAGTTACTGTTTTTCAGCCTTGGCATTATTGACATTTTGGGCTGTGTGATTCTTTGTTGTGGGGAGCTTTCCTTGTACTTGGAGGTGTTGAATAGCATCCCTGTCCCTCACCCACCTAATGCCAACAGCAGTAGCCCCTTCCCACTGTGTGACAACCAGTTGTGACATTGCCAGATGTCTCCTGAAGGGCCAAACTGCCTCAGGTTGGGGGGTTGGGAAACATTGCTGTAGGCATTTGACTAGTGAACCCTGGAAAGCAGAAGTTTCGAGCCGGCAAAGATGGAATGAAACCTTCTCCTTTTATGGAGTAGGAAACTGAAGCCCATCCAGAGATGTTAAGTAACCTACGCAAGGTGGCACAACTAGGACAACTAGTGAAAGTGCCAGGACTGGGACCCAAGCCCTCTGAATCCTCGTGCAGTGCCCTTTCCCCTCAACCTGCTGCCTCCCACACTACCCATTGCCTGCCAGCTTCTACCTGCTCTCCTTGCTGGCGGGATGGTGGCTTGTTGCTCTCCCACATGTGCAGTCTGGTCCCTGCCATTGGGTTTGGGTCACGTGGAGCAACTCTTCACTTACATGGAACATCCCTGTTGTCTCACTCAGATAGAAAGGGGGATTTCATAAACATTACTTTGTTCTCTGTTCCAGTCACTTGACATAGGATTTTCCTCATTCCCAGTCTGGTTAGATCACCACTCTCTTCTGCATTCTTCTGCATTCCACAGTTCCTCTAAAGCCACTTACAAAAGGTGCCGCCAGAACCAAATGTTTGTTTGAAGTCATTTGTCACTCTGAAAACCCCTCTGGAATGTAGTCATTATACAACAGTTGGATGACATTGTTTATACACTTAGGATTTGTTTCGCCATCTCCAGTCTCGTCCTTTTTTTGATAAAATCAGTTTAAGAACATAGTACTGATTTCCCACAAGAAATATTTTCTTTTTAGAATAAAAGAGTCCTCTGATGTCAGAAAGTTCCTGCCAAGGCTCACTGGACCAGGAGCCTCCAGTGCTCAGGTTTTCATTGTGGCTCTACCACATATGGGCTAAGCAAATCTGTAGCTTTCTGAACTATAAAACACTGAGTTCGGGTGGCCTCTTAGATCCATTGAAGCTCTCACATTGAGTTCTATTCTTATTTTATCATTAGTGGAAGAGTTCATGTGAAATTTCTCCCTTTATTGAGTCCTGTTCTGATTGGTCAGGCTATTTCATTTTGGACAGAGAAAGCCCCAGAGCCTATCTTAAAATATTATTCCTTTCCACGCCCACAGGGTGACTTTTCCATGGTTTAACTTGAAATTTGTCTAGTTGTTGGTGAAATACTATCTTAGTACTTAGTACTTTGCCAAATGGTCAAGTAATTTTCACTCGGGGTATGTCCTTCTTGGATGTCCTGCCGACTGTAAGAATCATTCGAGTGAGGAATGATGGCATGAGTCACCCTCTCTCCCCCCACCGCCATCAATTCTCCCTCCCAATATGGTAGGACATGTCTTATGTCATCCTGTATTGTGATCTGGAGTTTATGGAACACTGCCACGTGACCACCCACTACTGCAGAGTCCCACTCTGAAGTTTGTGCTTAGTGTTATGGTTTCTATTCTGGATATATAACTCTTTGGCATGGTTTCCTACTGTCTTGGCTTCTGATTGTCTTTCCTTTTTCCTTTCCTTTCCTTTCCTTTCCTTTCCTTTCCTTTCCTTTCCTTCCTTCCCTTCCCTTCCCTTCCCTTTCCTTTTTTTCTTTTCCTTTTTCTTTTTCTTTTTCTTTTCTCTTTCTTTTTTTCTTTTTATTTCTCTTTTCTTTCTTGGAACTTGAGGAAAGACTCCTTGCATGAAAGGTAATGATAGCAGCATGGCAGTGTATACAAAGGATATGTGAGTAATGTCCCCCTGTATAATGTTTTGGGTAGGCTTGCTCTGAGGTATGTTTGCACCAGTGGACAAGGGGAAAAAATTCGCCAGAAGGCCAGAATCATGAATTGAAGAAATGAATTGGGCATTATGCGCAGACTACAATTTGGACTCCCCCAACACACACCAGATGGTGCAAGTAGAGCTGAAAGACTGCTCACCAGTGATCACCTGATCGGGATTGGTTGGGGGACTGGGCAAGGCTGGGCCCACAGATGAAGCCTTCACTGCCTAAAACCCAGCAGGGCCAGAAGGCCAGTGCAGCGCCGGTCGCTCTATTTCCAAACCACAGCCACTCTTAATCAGACCCACGTTGTGAGTCTCTGTGTGGAGATACACGCACCTTTTTCTTTTGTCTCTATATCAAGAATGAAATAACAACTTATTTAAATTTTTGCTTATTATAAAAAAACACATTACTATCGATTGAACATTGACTTTGTGTCAAACATTCTACCTATATTGTTTTGAGGATAGTTGCTAGCTGTCCTGGAGTACGTATTCTCTTTTCCTTTGTTAGCAAGACAAGTCATGATTTTTTTTTTAATTTAAATTCTAGTTAGTTAACATACAGTGCATTATTGGTTTCAGAAATAGAATTCAGTGATTCATCACTTACAACACCTAGTGCTCATCACAAGTGCTCTCCTTAGTACCTGTCACTCATCTAGCCCATCTACCACCCACCTCCCTCCATCAGCCCTCAGATCTCAATCATTAAGAGTCCCTTGTGGTTTGTTTCCCTCTCTTCCCAACTTGCTCACCCATATGATCACCTGTTTTTTTCTTAAGTTCCATATATAAGCAGAAGTATATGGTATTTGTCTTTCTCTGGTTGACTTATTTCACTTAGCATAATGCACTCTAGCTCCATCCAGGTCGTTGCAAATGGCAAGATCTCATTCTTTTTGATGACTAATACTCCATTATATACATATACCACATCTGTATCCATTCATCAGTGGATGGACATTTGGACTCTCTACATAGTTTGGCTGTTGTTGATAATGCTGCTAGAAACATTGGGGTGCACGTGACCCCTTTGAATCCGTATTTTTGTATCCTTTGGTAAATACCTAATAGGGCAATTGCTAGATCATAAAGTAGTTCTATTTTTAGTTTTTTGAGGAAACTTCATGCTGTTCTCCAGAGTGGCTGCACCAATTTTTATTTCCACCAGCAGTGCAAGAAGGTTCCCATTTCTCCATATCCTCACCAACACCTGTTGTTTCTTCTGTTGTTAATTTTAGCCATCTGATGGGTGTGATGTGGAATCTCATCGTGATTTTGATTTGTATTTCCCTGATGATGAGTGGTGTTGAAGTTTATCTGGGTACATGGCATCCCAGTGGAAGACTCTGGCTTGTAGTTTGTGGTACAGATTGTTGTGACCACATGACTAAGTGCTAGCCAATGGGATGCGAGCAGAAAGATATAAACAACTTACAGTTCATACCCTTAAATTTAGGGTAAGATTGTGCCCTTCCCTTCTCCTTCTTTTTCACTGGCTGGAATGTAGATGTGGAGACAAGAGTTGGGAACAGACAGTTTAGCCCTGAGGTGAAAGCTATGTGTTGAAGATGCAAAACAAGATCCGAGGAGCCTGGCCCCAAACTGGGGAGCTATGCTGTTAACTCTGGACTCGTTCTGTTCAGACTGTATCATGAGAGAGAAAACATCCCGCCTCCTTTAAACCGCGGTTATTTTGACTTTTGTTATAATAGCCAGACCTGTTTTCAAACTAATAGTGGCATTCATTTTTATACTCTTTGTGCAAATGAGTGTGTACACCTCAAAGAGATAAATAATTTGCCTGAAATTGCTTATGGAACAGTCCCCTCAAGCAGCTCAAATATGATACTTTCTCTTAGAATTCCTCTCTGGTATGGAAATGCCAGTGAAATCATGCAGCTCTTTCCCCACACCACAAGAACAGCCAAATCTGAATGACATGTGCATCCCGGAGCATCTGCCTGGCTGAGTGGGTGAGGGTACGTTCTCTGTCAGCCTCCATCCTGAAGTCCCACCACGGCAGAGGCTGAGTTAGTTTTGAGGTTCAGATAGCCTATGTGGTAAGTCAATAAATATTTCATAAAAAATGGTCGTCTTCACTTAGTATCAATTTCATTACTAGCATTTTATCCTTAAGGGCTTATGTTTGGAGTTTTGTATATTTAAAACAAAGTTATTTAGCACCAGAACAGAGATTATGTTGCAAGATATTTTATTTGCTTATTTAACATTTTTAAATATTGTGTGCTCGCGAGGTTTGGGTTGTGACAGCTATCATGGTATCTCTGACTTGTTTTGTTTTGTTTTTTTTTCTTTCAGGGCTACTGAGGTCCTTACTTAGGAGATTCCAAAAAGAGATATGACCGCCAGCGTTTCTTCAGTCCTCTCTGACAAAGAAGACGATGCATCTTCATGGTGATCTCAGCGCTTCTGACGCCATTTGGAAATTCGGAAACGGCTCAATTATATCTGTGAGCCATAACTTAATCATCTCTGAAGCTGTTTCCAGGTAAGTCAGAATCATGATGGCAAACAAAGCGAGAGGCAGAAGGAGACATTTCTTCCACTTCTGCATATGAGTGGGAGTGACTGAGTCATGAAAGCCAAAGCTGGGAATGAAAGCAGGGACCAGATGAAATGGCAGGAAAGCCAAGATAGCAAGGAGGGAGGGATCAGGGGTCAAACAAGCAGGGAACCAACCAGGCTGGGGAGGGTTCATCTGCACCAGCTTTGAAGCTTTTTGAGGCTGGGGGAGAAGGAAAGGGTTAAAAGAAAATTTAGAGAGCTTTACTTGATATGAATATTTTACTGAATGAGAAAAAAAGGTCACCGTCAGCAGTGCTTGAGACCCAAAACTGGTATGAAGTTCAGAGGCATGATGTTATAGGATGGCTTATAAACTGACAATGAGGAAGTTGCTTAACCTTTACAGTGATTGGTTATTATGGTGGGGGTTTCCAGATGGCAGGGGATTGGTTAAAAGTGCTTTTCTTAGACCATTTTAGGAGGACATTTTAAATTTCTGTTATGATTATCAGTGGCATATACAAGAAATAACCTAAGGTAAGTTTCATGTACATTTAGAAAAGAAGCTGCATTTAGTTTTGCTTATTTGGCATAAATGGTTCTGTTTGCTTGGGAGATAGATGTTCAAGGCTGATCTCCATCTTATTTTATTTTAATTCAAATAAAAATTGTTGAGGGTCTACTATGTGCCAGACACTGTATATTATCTAATCAAATTTTCACATAAATTCTTTAGATGGTATAATTACCATTTCTTAGCTGAGAATGATGGTCTTCAGAAGTTAGCCCAGTGATGTCACATGACTGATGAATAGTAGATCTGGGATTCAGACTCTGGTCGGATTCCAAAGCCTGTGTTCTTTCTGTCTACAGCAATGACTCCAGAGTCAATACCAGCCAAGAGAAGGCAGGTTGTAATGAACTGGGTAGAGCTGACAGGGAGTCAGACGTGGACTTTGTGTAACCATATGGGGACAGGGTATCCTCTGGCACAAGGCTTTTAGGGAGTAGACTGTCTTTGGGGAAACACATTGGTAAACTGCCCTGGATGTGGGCCAAGAGATCCCAAGGTCAAGGTCTAGAAGATAAAGGCAAAACCAAATTTCTCTACAGAGGAAGTCAACTAGGATTTGGGACATAAGCCAAGAATTTGACAGAAGAGGGGAGGAGTTAAAAGAAAAGAGGGGGCCAAGTACAAGGTGGGAGGTGGAAGCTACAGGGAAATGTGGCCAGGGAATGAGGTCCTGGTGATGAGGTACCTGAGAGGCTTTGAAGACTAGAAATGTGCAATATTTAGTCATAAGCAGATTGGTCACTGCACTGTTGACTCCAGCAGTTGTCTGAATTGTCCTGTAAAAGTATGTCACACACACTTGCACAGCCTTGTGTTTGAGACAGGCTCACGTGGAATGTCCCAACAGGAAAACAGAGCGCTGCTTAGTGTGGAGGAAGAGGCGACAGTAGAAAAGAGAATAGGCATAGAAAAGAGAGGGCTCCATACATGGAGCGATTAAGCCTCAGCCAGAGGTGGCCGGGACAGTTATAAACAACCTCCTGCCCACATGTCAAAGATTAACGAAGAGTTTGAAAGAGCTGCTGAATGGCTTACCTCATAAGGCATGAGAATTCAAAACAGTTTCATTTAAATATGAAAGGGCAAGTTAACTTTAGCTGACATCTGGCTTATGAAAAGAAGATATTTCTAAAAGAGCTACTCAAGGATGAAATGGGTGACCTTGGGCAAGCAGTAAATTCGCCATCCTTGGTAACGTTTAAGCACAGATAATAACAAAACCCAGGCATGGCAGTGGCAGAGAGGGACTCAGGTGTTGGAAGGGACCAACTATACAACCTGTTGAATTCCCTCACAACCCTGAGAGTCCAGATTCTAAGTCTATAAATTTGTAAGTCTACAAATTTGCAATTTGTAAGGCTCCTAAGTAAATTAAGTATCCAAGCAAACAGAACCATTAACATTGGAGAGATAAAGTTGCCTTACTATTGAGACACACTTCTGGGTCACTCAGGACTTTCTCCTATGCTCCCTGACACTCCATTATGAGTGGTGTGGTTTAGGCAGCCCAGGATTTGCTTTTGGAGCAGGTGGGCTAGTGTGCCTGTCTGAACAGGGATTCAGGCTTCAGTGTCAGCTGAAGAGGAATCTAACCTTGTTTGCCTTTTGAGATTTGTGTCTGAACCTGACCACCCTTTGTCCCAGCTCTTTAGTGATGTCCGAGGGCTGGAGGCACCTCAAGGGAGTGAAAGCCCACCAGCGTCATGAGAGATGGAAGAGAAAGAGAGAAAGAAGCAGCAGTCTATGGAGAAAGTCAGGAACAACTAGCTCCCTTTTCTCCCTGGCCTGGCCAGAAAGAAAACAAACCAGAGGCTGCTTCAATCCTAGACTGTTTGCAGGCACAAAGTATATACCAATGGCTAAAAAACAACTAAGAATATTATATTAAAAAGAAAAGCTTCCTGGATTTTCTCTCAAAATGCACCCAGAAACCCAGAATAGTATATTCCCGCAAGTTGGAGAAAAATACCTAAGTAAATATGATATCCTGCCAATGCTCAAATTTTGAATCAGCCAGGGATGAAGATAGCTTGGGTACATTAAATTCATAGATAAACCATAAACTTACAAAAAGCAGACTTTATTGGTTTGAATTTCAGCTTGTAAGGTATTTCACCACCCACTCAGGGTAGAACGACAGTGAGTAGTCAGAAGTCATGAAGGAGGAGGAGACGCAAATAACTTACATCAACCACAAACTAGATCATCAGCCCTGGAAAGTTGACTGTAGACCTCAGACAGTCTCTGATATTTGAATTAAGATTAAAAGTTCCCATATGAAGCCGGTCTAGGAAAGGCATTCTTGATGACTCTCTCAGACTCTCTCATGTGTTAGATTCCTCCACTGAGTGGGACTGAACACGTCTCTGGGGTTCACACCCACTCAGATTAGGTTCAAGAGGCTAAGCAGGTCAGTATTTGCCCCAGAGCTTCCTTCCTTTGCGGTAACTAGAAGTCAGTTGACCACCTCACCTAGGAGTTCTGGAAGAATTCTGAGTCCCACGTAAGCTGCCTGTCAGCTTCAGAAATGGTTTTCTTCCAAGAAACTATTTTTGAGTTGTGAAAAATGTTAGCATGCATGACCTCCTGTTCTTCCGCGTTATGAGCATTTTGAAGCCATTTCTCCAATCCAGATGTCGTGCTAGGTTCTGCAGATACAAAGATGAAGACACCATCGATGCTTTGGAATAGCTTGGAGCTTAGTCAATACGGTGCTCATGAGAACAAGATGAAAACCCAGCAGGCTAACCACTAAAGGGCAAAGTGTACTGTGCACGCAGGGGCTCTGGAATTTGGGAAAGGCCTCCCAGCAGAAGAGGAGCCTCAGCTGAGCCTCTAAGGATGGTTGAATGCAAGTTAATCAGGTGAGAAACAGGGAATGGCATTTCAGGAGGCAGGAATGGTACCTTGCAAAGGTACAAAAGAGGGAGAGATTAGGACAGTGGCATAAGGAGAGCAAGTAGTGCCAGGGTCAAAGCAGTACATTGTACCCTCTGGCTACCTAAGAGTTTTCCTGGAAAATGAACAAAGGCATGGCGAAGCTCAGGTGCTTTCCTGCATTTGACATTCAACAAACCTAGAGATACCAACTCAGAGCAAAAGGAAATGACACACCCTGACTGGTTTCTTTGTGATACCCCAAGACAAGCGCCAAGGGACTTAGAGATTATTGTCTCTGGAACAGTCAGGGCTGCTCATGTGTGTGTGACCTGCAGCCACACAACACTCTGTGCTCAGAAGCCTTTGGACTTGGGCGAATCTCTGCAAGTGCTGTCTTGAAATTCTTTAATACATCTTGATCAGAGGGCCCTTCATTTTCATCTTTCACTGGGTCCCCCAAATAATGTAGCTGATCCTGAGAATAGGTCATTTTCAAAGAATTTAAAATAGTTCAGTACTGTCATATACAAAGTGGAAGGAGGGCAAGGTGGCTGAGGAGGTTGAGAAGGTAGGCAGTGGGATATATGGAAAAGCCTGGAAGCCTTGCCTTTAAAATTTGCCTGTGGGAGAAGGATAGTCATTGAGGACTTTGAACAAGAAAGTAATGCGAAGAGATTTGACTTTTAGATCACTCTAGTGTAATGTAGGTGATGGAGTGGAAATGTAACAGTTTTTCCCATATAAAATTAACACCTTTTTTTGTTCAGATTTCATTTATCAGGTCTGAATTTTTGATCCATGTCAAAATGCAAAGGTCCCTAAGAGGAATAACTGCTGCTATGGTTAATGTACATTTTAGGGTCAATTAAGATAGCAAGACCTGTGAGTACTTTTGAGAACTGGAGGTCGGAAAGAGAGAATGGAAACCAGGAGGCAGAGGGTTCTGTATGGAGGAGGGGGCCATAGAGAGGCTGAGCCTTTAGAGGGAAGCTTATAGGCTTTTTCTTTGTTTTCATTTTTCACAAGACCAGCCTGACCCACACGTAAGATTTTTTTTCCCTAAAATTGCTTTTAGCACTCCCTACCTAGAGTCATTTAGTGCAGCGGTTCTCAAAGTGTGGTTCCCAGGAAAGCAGCATCAACATCATGTGTTAGAAATGCATCCTCTGCCCCATTTTAGGTACACTGACTCAGAAACTCTGGGGGCAGAGACCCCGCAATCTGCTGCTACCAGCCTTCCAGGTGATCCTCATGCAGCTAAGACCTGTTGCATCATCATGAGTTATGTATGTCCTTGGAACTCACACATGACCAGTGGAAGTGCCTATCTGGTATTAGAATGGAGAATCAAAAGTGATTTTCATACCAAGAAAAAGTTAGGCTTTGTTCTAAACATGCTTTTCATGGAAGTATATTCAGTGGGTGATCTAAGGTTATGTATGATTACAGTGTCTTTATAGGTGATAATTCCATAGTTCCAGAATGACTATAAAAGGTCAGACTCAGAATCTGGAGCTAACTATGGCATTTAGCAAAACAAGATAAAGATGATTCTTTTTTGTGTATGCAAGCACAGTTGTTATATGGGAAGCATGTTTCACTTGTACCGTCATCTTCCAAAGGAAAATCTTTGCTGATAGTGCTGGAATTTTCATTTCTCTGCGCCTTACATTATACCAGTAGTGTCACGGCTATGTTAATACATATCCAAAAGTTGCTTTCGTTTACATAGTCTATAAAATTTCTGAAATGCAGTCTAAGTTGCTGTTAAAACCAGCATTTCTCAGATTCTTTCCATTGTCCTCCATGAGTAATCCAATATACATGGAAGGATAAAAGAGTAAACACTTTTGTGATAGTCCAAATTTTTCCAATGGAATTTTAAACAATTTGACAGTTCAGTCTTGTTAAAAAGTGATATGAAATAAATGCTTCTTAGCAAACAGTTGTCCAGTAAATATTATAATTCTGTCTCATATTCTCACAGTGGATTGCTTTCTGAGTCTTTCAGTGGAATTCTTTCAAATTAGAGCTCAATGATCTTCTTTATATTTTATCCAAGGTTTGAAATACATGAACCTGTCTCTACTTACTTGAACAATGGCCTCTATTATGGTGTCTTTTTCTTTAAATCCAAATATTATACTCAGCATTTTAGGAATTCCCTATTCCAAATACAGGCAATTAAATTGTCTATAAGTTATTCAGAGCCCTAGAAAACGAAATGAAATAGGAGTTTGTACTTTGAAATGAGTTCAAAAATGTGTACCATTTGTCAATGCTAGACTCTGTCAAATAGTCCTCATTATCTTCTGGTTCTGCTGTTAACAGACGAAATAATCTGACACAGACTTCTCTAACAAAAATATTTCCTTCTAGGAGAAGTCTGGCCTTTCTCAGCAATCAGGATTCAAATTCTTGACCTTGAAGATGGGAGAGAGAACAGAATGCTTCTTGGTGCCACTCTAAGCTGGATGAAATTTGAAAACATCCCCCAGGATGAATAGGGGAACATGCATGGAAATTTGCATTGCTTTTAGCAAAATCTAGGACTAATTTGGAGCGGATAGCCTGGTACTCCAGAATAAGAGAAAACCAAGTCTGGAACTTTGGAACCCCTGGAGATGTTGCCTGGGGACAGGGCTCAGATGCAAGGTTCACATCACTGGCCAAAGAAGGCAAGATGATTCTGAGTTGAGACCAGAACAAAAGTGGTCATCATCCTTTCCTGTTCAGTGACTGTTTACCCCAACCTCCTTTGCATTTGCCCTTTTAATTTAGGATCCTGAAAGTGTGATTCTGTTCCCACCCTCTCGTAAACTTCAGTAAAACAAGGAAGTAAACAAGTGTTTATTGAACCAACTTGAAGGAATGAAAGAATGGTGGTCTCCTTAATCATTTCAGAATACTTGAATATTAACCCAAATGAATTTCTAATTAGTGGACTTTGAGACAGTGTGAAGAAAGTGTCTGGGAGCATGAGCCTCTTTCTAAGAGCAAAGGGGCTGGGGTTACAAACTCATTTCTTTTCTCCCCAGCTGCCTTGTCCACCTCTTTCCACATATTATCCTTCTTGGCAGGGAGCAGGGGGGATAGGGTATCCATCAACGCCACTGTTTTCCTCTTCCATCAGATCACCATTTCCTCTTCCTTGTCTGGTGCCTGAAACCCTCACTGTCTGTCTCCATCTATCAGTGAAAGGGTGGGATGGCAGAGTGGGAATTCCCTACTTAACACTTCTACTTAGATATCCTAGAGGGACTATAAATACCATCCGAAAAATAAACTCCCTACATCCATACCTGCTCCTTATGTTGAAGAGCCTCTGTTATTATGGTATCATCACCCAGTTGGCCAAGTGAAGAGTTTGGAGATACTGGGTTCCTTGGATGGTAGTTAAACTACCATGAGGACATGCGGGGGGGGGAGGGGTTGTATGCAGCGTGAAGAGTGAGAAGAAAAGGTATTTTGGAAAACAGAGATTAAGTTTCAGCCCAGAACATGTGGAGAAAGGCAGGAGCTAGGGTCTGAAGGGCAGGCACGGGGCACCAGAGCCCACAGTAAGGCTCGGAAAACCTCAGCTAGAGCGGTGGCTAGAAGGTGGGTAAAGTGAAGAGAAGAGGGGCAACTACAAGTGGCTTCCCTGGATGGGGGGGCACTTCTCTAACCCTCCAGACTTGAGAGGCATTCTCACTTCCTTTGCTGCTCAGCTTCCAGTGACAATGTTTCCATGCTGAAACACCCTAATGCATGTGATTGTTTCAGAGACAAGTTCTGGAAAGGACATGGTCCCATCTCCTATTGAACCCAGTCCAACAAACAAACCGAAAGTAATCAGAACTAATTCATATCTTTGCTCAGTCTCTCAGGAAACAGGCAAAGGTGGAGCTGGGATAGACAAAGTATGTTTTCATGCCCAAGAAAAGTAGCAAATTGTTGCACAAATCCATTCATCCCTCATTCACCACTTTTCATACTCCTCACTTCCTAATATCTTCTGAAAATCCCCACACTCTCAACTCCCAACTTCAGTACCCACTCACTTTCTAATATAAACCTTCCAGCTTCTCCAGATTTCCCCCAGCTATTTACTTACACCAAAATTCATAATGAGGTCCAGGTGAATGAGTCTGCGTCAGTGGGAGGGATCCTCCCTGAGTCAGGGAAATGGGCTGATTCACTCACATTGTTTCTGCCTGCAGTGTTCTTCCTTCAGCTATCTGTATGGCTTTTTTATAAGAAGAAGAAGGAGAAGAAGAAGGAGGAGGTGGAGGAGAAGGCAAACTTAAAAAGGTGAGCCGTATGTCCTTTCAATGTGCCACGGATACATTGTTTAATAGGCTTACACAAGAATGTGCCTTATTTTACTCACTGTTTACTATGGATTAAAAATCCTAGATGTAGTGAAGTTACTTGGTATAGATTTTTTTTTCCAGGAGAGACCCAATTTCTGTCTGTTAGAAAGATAACCTCAAAGAATATAGTTTATATAGAATATAGTAGGACGTTAATCAGTTTAGTCTCCAATGTAACATCCTTTCTTAGTTGAGCACTCCGTTGTTAAACTCCCTGTAAATGACAGATTTTTTCAATGCCCTTTTGAACCAATCTTAACATTTTATTGATCCTTTACTAACTACTGAGTAGAATAAATCTTTGACATATGTTCAGCTTCTATTTATGCAAGAGTCGCTTTTTGACTGTTTGAAAATTATACTTTAACAACTCTTACTGAACCCTAATGTCCTTCAGATACCTGCTCAAATGCCACCTTCTTGTGGAGGCTTTCTTTGACCATGCTATAGAAAACAAGACCTTGTGGACATGCTCAGTGTTTCCTAGCTCTGTTCCTTTGTTTTATTTGCCTCACAGCATTTATGTCTACCTGATACTTCATTTTGATTTTTTTTTTGTCTCTAGCCACCATAATGGAAGCTCTGTGACCTTAGACACTTTGTACCCCACTGCCTGAAGTGATAGCTGGCATGTAATGAACACTCAATGAACATGGAATGAATGAATGAATGAACATTCTAGTATCATGCATCCCTGCTCCTCAGAGGCTAATTACATTGTATACAACCACACTTGTCAACCCTACACTTGGAATGATGGTGCATATTAAAAGGTATGGTCCTGGGGCACCTGGGTGGCGCAGTCGGTTAAGCGTCCGACTTCAGCCAGGTCACGATCTCGCGGTCCGTGAGTTCGAGCCCCGCGTCGGGCTCTGGGCTGATGGCTCGGAGCCTGGAGCCTGTTTCCGATTCTGTGTCTCCCTCTCTCTCTGCCCCTCCCCCGTTCATGCTCTGTCTCTCTCTGTCCCAAAAATAAATAAACGTTGAAAAAAAAAATTAAAAAAAAAAAAAAAAAAAGGTATGGTCCTGAAGTTGTATTTTTTTCTGTCACCATTGAGTGACTTCTTCTGGGCCCTTTAGAGAGACAGATACCTTTGCAAGTTAGGTTTTCCATCTGTTAATGGGACCATAACACACCTGAGAAACCATCTATACCCTTGCATGTGGCACTTGAACTTTTCAATGTGGAGACCCATATAAAGGCCAATGTAAGTGACATTATCATTGCTGTCTCATTGCTTCGACTATTAATAGTGATTGTCAACGATGACAACTTTCAGGCAGTATGAAGCCTTCCAGAGTGTTTTTTTTTTTCTTCCAGAGTCTTCAAGACTAATACTCAACCTGAAAACATCTTCCTCTTACCAAGACAGCACTTCCTAGGAAAACGTATTTTTCAGGTAATTTTACTTCAGTACAAGTGGGCTTCTCTCCTTGTACAGCACGTGAGTAAGAGAAGAAACTCACTTATGAAGTACTTTACTACCTTGTCTAAATAAGGGAAAAGAAAATGTACCAGGAAGCCTCAGAGCCAAATTGAGCTCAAATGCAGGCATCCTCCTCAGCTACACCTCTCAGGAAAGCACCTCCTTTAAATACATATTTGTACCACTTCAACATCAGAAAAACTTGGTATTTTCCAAAACAGTTTTTTTTCCCCTGCCCAATAGCTAGAAATTTCTTAGGAGTGAGTGTCTTCCCTAAAACAACAAACCATCTTCTTTTAGCTCCGTGCCCTCAGAGAAAATAAGACAGCCTCAGAGATTTGAGTTTCCGTAACCTCAGCACTTGTAGACAGTAAGCAGACTAGCAGGGGACTTCACCAACAGTTATGATCTGGTGGTACAGCGGGAAATCTGTTTTTGGAAGCTAAAATCAGTGGGCACTCCTTGAGCTGGGAAGATTCTGAGGTTTAGCAGCTTAGATAGCAGAGATGGTAACATGCTGACAAAGATGGCTGAAGCCATACGTCAGGGAGCAGTCCTATTGTAACTACATTAGGAACACTCCAATGATTGTAAGCATAGAATATCTCTGTCCAAATTCAACAGAAATTGTAAGAAACCTCAGATTACTTCTCAGAGGAGCAGGGAGCATCGTCTGTGCTAAAATCAGAAAGTGGAGTGGCCTGGAGGCCTTCCTAGAGAAAGGTTGGAAGTTACCAGGGCATTCGATTCAGTCCACCTTGGCAGGAAGACCCTAAGAATGCTTTTCGGCTCTTCCTCTGGATACTCCCTCTTTAAATTCCTTAGTGACTGTCTCCACTTTCCCAGATCAGGTCAAATATCTTAGCAAGTGGAAAATACCCTCTTATTATAAAACAAAAATATGGAGGACTTCTGCCCCATGCCTCCAAAAGATTGGTTAATGGGTGGCTACATGTTTACTGTCTTAGTGTAAGGCTAAGTGTGCACTTTGCAGGCTGATGAATTGGAAACTTCTCTTTAGTAGGTGACAGCAGGCCTGCTTGAAAATTATTTCTCCTGTCAAAATAGTAGTGATAGTAATAGCTACTATGCATGGAGAGAGCATAGTGGTAAAGAGCATGGGCCATGGAGTCAGATGGATTCCTGACCCTGCTGCTTACTATTTGTCCATTTCCTAAGCAAGTTGCTTAACCTCTGTATGTTTTAGTTCGCTCGACTATAAAATGGAGATACACAAGGAAACTAACAACGGCAAACGATTTCAAATATTTGCTAGGTACTAAACATTATTCTGGTGTTTTGCCTTCATTAACTAATTTAATGTGTTCCATGACCCCATGAGGTGCGTGCCTTTGTTATATGACTCCTGAGTTTCCTGCACTCTCCTGCCTTGAGTTCCAGAGACCCTGGACACCTGTGAAGGAGGATGACGTGCTTCACGGGCATTATCTCATGTAATCCTCACAGCACTTTTATGAGGAGGGCACTCTTATTTGACCCACTTCTGCTTGGGAAAACTGAGGTGCAGAGGTTAAGTAACTTACCCAAAGACAGTAAGTAGCAGTGCTTCGAAAAATAGGCAGACCATGCTGTTAATTATTAGGCATCATAATATCTGTTCCCCCAGAGCTCCCCCTGTTTGTTAAAGGGGAGTGAAACCAACTCAAATCACATGTTTGTGAATGGGAAACATTTAAAAAGGATGGCTGAAGAGCTGCCTCCAGTGCTTGCATCAAAATAAACAGAACTGATAGACACAATCAAAATCTCTGGCTTTAATTTTGTTGTTGTTGGGTTTTTTTCCCCTTTGGTACAGGATTTTATGATGAAGTTTCCATGAGAAAAGGGATCCTGTGGTCATGTAAAATAATCAACAAAAAGAATGTAGGAAAGGGTACTGGTAAGCCATATGAGGAAATCACTAACAAGATGTTTGTCTCCATACTGACATGAAATTACCCAAATGTATGATTTCACAATCTACAAGATGGCAATAAACTGCCCCTAGAGGGCGCCAAAGTGATCTCTCTCTCTCTCTCTCTCTCTCTCTCTCTCTCTCTCTCTCTCTTTTGCAAATCTGTGTCTGTAGATCTGATCTGGACCTCCTGCATCTCTGAGGGTTTCTGGATGGTCCTTAAAAAGCCCCTCAGGGCCTTCCTCTGGTTTGGGGTGTGGGCCACGGTCACCCAGAAAGCTAAATGCAGCCTCTGGGTGATAAAAGCCCTGCGGTAAACTGACTTCCAGCTAACCGCAGGGCAGGCGAGAGCGTCTAATGCAACCACAAAGTGGTTTGCTGGCACAGAACTTTCCCAACCTTTGGAACAAGATACCAGCGGATGTTGTTTAGTCTCCATCTTGGAAATCTTTCTCTCGGCAAGAGGAAAATTCTGATATCCATCAGTCTGAAATCAGCTGGGCACAGCCTTAGGTGGAGGCAGGGGGGCAAGCATGTTGTTTGTGGGATCTCATAACCTCAAAACCTATGGTTGTAAAGGAACTGCTTACCCAATTAATTATGAAACAGGCAAGGATACAGACACTGGAGGGGATCAACAAACTGCATGTAGACTACCAGAGCTCCTTGAACTATGACATTTTTTTTTCTAAAAATGTTAAGACAAATTAAATTTTAATGCAGAATTAGGGGTGCTTGGTGAACTTCTGGAGTCTTCAGTATGCATGCAATACCTAGCATCTTGCTGTCAGCTCGACATGGACTCCAAACAGATGTCCTTTGTCAAGGTCGCTGTGTTGAGCTTGAACAGAACCACTGACCTCATGCCATCAGGCTGCTGCATTGGGATCCCTGTTCTGAAGAAACTGAGATTGACAGTGTTGAGACCTTGAGTTTTTTTCTTTACAGTATCGCCACTGCTTCTTCTTCAGCCCTGCCTTTGAGCTAGAAATTGATGTACTTGGCTGATGAGACTAAATTACATGAAAGAATGGCTTTCATCATATTGCTCAATTTAGGGATTTCTTTCATTTCAAAGGCAAGGTTAATTACCTCTAGAAAATGTTAAGCAATTATCCACTAATAATAGCAGGGAAGATGCTCCTGGAGCAACCAGTTCAAGGTGGAGGGAGGATTTGTGAGGAAGGCAAGAGACTTAGATTTGAATTAGCGCTGAGAAATGAAAACTATGTTAAGCTTTTAAAGACTTTAATGGGGAGAGACAAGACTGTTGCTTTAGCCCTTCAGCAGCCTTGGCCGTTAGTTTATCCTATTTTTTTTTTCCAGGACTTGGAGGAAAGACCTAGTTGATGCATATTCCCTGTGATTTTTTCCTGTAACCGCTCGTAACCGAGGGTGGAGGGGGCTCAGGTCTCTGGCAATCAGTGGGATATAACAAAGGTGTGGGCTCTGCATTAAAGGTGAAGAAGAATCTAGTCTGAGACTTTTCAGTTGCATCCAGGGATTTCCTATATTGCTGTATATTAGAGTACTCACAGTTCGGAGACTTGCTCTTGGAGTTCAGTGATGAGTGATGTCTTCCAAAAGCCTGGGCCCTTCCACGTGCACCACACACATACACACACACACACACACACACACACACACACACACAGAGTGCTATTTTATCTCTCCCTCTCATGCTCAACTTCAAGTCATTGTACAATGATAAAGCTTCCAAGTAAAATTATCTGCCATTTGCTCAGCTCAAGATCCTATGGCAGGTGGACATAGAAAGCTGAACGATCAACACTCTGTTCTTTCTTTGATTCCTTTAGTTCGAGAAGGAAGCCTGCGGTTCTTTGTGTACAGAAGCTTGTTACCACATGCTGGACTTTCTCCCTGTTGTGGACATAGTTCTCACGCAGCCCCAGGATTCCTTAGCATCTGGGAGGAAAGCTGGTCAGTAGATACCAGAAGATGCTTGGAGGAGTGGGCCCAACCTGGTGCTGAAGTGGGGGCAGTTGAGATACTTCTCTATCCCAATAAGGCTTCAATGCAGGGGATACCAATTCTAAAAGCAATGCTAGCAGGCAGCTGCCTGCTGTTCAAATAAAATCCTGTTGCCACATGAATGCATTTAAGTTCCTTTCTCTCCAGACAGAGCAATTCCCAGATCTCATGGGCTAACCATAAGATGATCTTAGAACCCCCAAATTATAGCCCTTTAACATTTCAGTATTAATCTCCTATGTGCTTAGGCCTAAATACGATAGAGTTTACAGGAATTGATCTTTAAATTGAAGCTCAGAGTTTCAAGGATTCTGCAAGGGAGGAAATTATTTAGTTGCTGGGAGAGAATTATTTATTTGCAATTATGAGCATTGAGAAATCAGGACTCTCATTTCTGACAGGTAGCAACCACCATCAGTATGTGGTGCCTATTTTGGACAGTTTAGGACCTGATGTTAAAGCCTACCTTTAAATATTGAAAGTAAAGAAAAATAAGAATACATCATGTGACAAATCTCCCAGGTAATGCAAAACAAAATATAAAACTTTTCTAGACAGAGAGTGAAATTAGTTAAATTCATGTTACAGAAACCACACAACCTAAACAGACTTGTTTTCCTTCTTTTTCTTCTGTGAAGTTCCAAGGGCATTTTGTCCACTAGGCAAAGCTCAATTACCAACCTTTGCCTTTTTTTTTTTAACCATGTTCTAGCTTGGTCACAACTGTGGGTCTACCTGTCTGTTTATTCCCATGTCTGAAATATCACTAAATGTTACATAGATGAGCTGGAAAGAACAGTCAGAGACTCTTAGTCCCATCCTTCTATTTTATAAACAAGGAAACAGAGACTTAGAGAAGTGGAGTAACTTTTGTAAGGTCCCACAGCCAGATAGTGGCAAAAGTGGGATGCGAATCCAGACTTCCTGACTCCTAGCCCCAACAGTGTTGGGATGCAGATTGTACACACGATGTGAGATCTTCCTTGAAATGCGACATGACACCGTAAGACCCCAGGCAGAGCGCACCACATGCAGCCACAAAGGAAAGGAGTGAAGCAGGAAATGAGGAAGAGTTTAATTTGGAGGCTGTGTTTCTTTGCATCCTCTAAATATTAGCTCTTAGGCACAAAGTCCCATTCTTCTGACCCAAGAAATCACCGCGACATTGAAATTACCACAGATATTGAGCTAAAGGTGTTCTTAGGTCCACATGAGATGCCATGGAGTTACTACATTTAAACCTAATATAAGTAGGTTATAAAAATATAAATATAAAAATATTTAAAGGCAAGTTTCTTTAAGCATTACAGTGTAGAGTTGGTCTGTGCTGATAAACTGATGCAGGTCTGATGACTATATAGTACTCATTCATTCATTCATTCATTTCCTCATTGACTCATTCAACAAATCCTTGTTGAGTGCCTAGTCCATGTCAGGCGATGCAGTGGTGATCAGGACAGGCATAGCCTTGGCTCCCTTAGAATGTATAATTTAGTGGGTACAATGGGCACTGTACACATATTTGCAGTAATTTATGGTGGAGCACACCACAGAACTTCATGAGGAACCAAGTCCCTAGATTGACATTCTAACTCTGGTTTTTCATGAAGGTAGTTTGGAAAGCGGTGGAGACATTTGTGTTGTTATAATCCTGGAGGGACTGTACCCACCTTTAGGTATAAGGAAGCAAAGATGGATATTTTGTGCTTTGTTGCCCTGCAGTGCAACGTAGGGATTTTCCCCACATCCTTTGAGACCTTTCACAAAGGTGAAAAACCTGCTTTTAATTACCCAAGCCTAGACTCTAATTCCACTTATAGTCTACATGAAGTATCTTTTGCACAGCTTGAACATATTAGGAATGCTCAAGGAATGAGTCCATGTGGAAGACATTTTGTTTTGTTCCCTTATGAGCACTGTCCAGACTTTCATAAGAGTGTGCCACTGGTAGCAATGCTGCTAATAAAACACAACTCTATCAGGTTACATTTAGAGCTATCTCAGCCATAAAGATGGAGAATAGAGGTATATCAAAATTCATTTTCAAATATAAATTACTTTCTTTTCATTATTCCATTATGTTAGGACAGTGTGTTGACTATAGCTTCATTTTACTTACGAATTTCATTTCTGGTTGGTTTGTGAAGGAAAGTGAACAAGACTCAAGGACCAGGAAGAGAATTCTATTGTTTCTCCTCTCTAGTGTCTAGGAATGCCTTTGATGGTGTCCCTTAGCTGACAATTGTTGTGGCTGTGTCCACTGAATGGCTAATTGTTTAGGTAAGGTACAGGGGCTTTCAAATCTTCTCTTCTCCTGTTTCAATGACTCTGGCATCAGAAGATGACAGACTGAAGAGAAACCCAAACACATGAAGGGATGTAGAAGGTGTGACTGCCTACCTCTACGTTAATTTTTGGCTGCACAATCCTGAAAGCATATATCTATCTAGATTTTAGTTTACTAGAACACAACACTCAGAGAGAATTTTTGTAACTAGTGTATATGCTATGGAACTAAAGTCACAAGAGAGTTCAGGTGCCAGATGGTGGCAGTGAATGCAGGGAGATCCAGGAGCCCACAAGTTTAGGAACACCAGCCTTTTTACAGTTCTACCTGTGACTCCACTTTTCTGGCTGAGGAAATGCAGGACAGTCTGAATCAATGATGAACATGTAATAGATTGTGGACTTAACAGTAATGTTTAAAGAGCTTCAATGTACCTGGGAATTTCACATCCTCGAGCACCATGATGTTCTCAGGCACTTTTCTGATAACCTCTTATTTCCTAACCTTCCACAAAACAAAGATGTAGCAATGCGGGTTATAGCTGACAGACAACCATCTTCTTTATA